CAAAATATGATTTTTCTAGTTCTAATTTTCAGCCAAACCCAGCTTAATCAAATTGACATAAGTTTTATTCAAATCTCTTATTCTACCATAGTGCCGTTTCTATCGTTCTAGAGAAATCCAATTGGAAGCTTGACTGTGCCTCTCTTCATTGTTGTGAGCTCTCTATCTTCTACTTTTTGTGATTTTAACAATCAAATTTATGAAAAATTCAACAAGTAGGCGCACAAGATATTACGGGATTGGACTATATTATTTTGTAAGAGTTAATCTTGAACATGTCATAGTTGAATTAATGTAGCGTTGTTGTAAATATAAAAAAATTAATTATTGTACCGAACCGTATGGAACCGAACTTGAACTATTCCATAATTAAATTTGGAACTTATTAAATACCTGAAAAGTTGGGTTTGGTTCGGCTCTCTTTAAAACCGAATTGGACCATGTCCAACTCTAATATTGTAGCTTGTTTTATAATGTAAAACGATGGGTTGTTTATGGTAAAGTTGATAAATATTAATTTGAATACTCTGAGATGCATTGAACGAAAATACTTATATTTATGTTGAAACAGGAATTTCTTGCCACTTTTTTTCTTCTTTTCTTTTCTTCTTTTCCTTTTTTCCCTGCATTGCAATTCTTTTTCATCCTATCTTTACACATAATATCCCATCTCTTGAAAATTCACACATTTGTGATACAAGAAAATTAGTCTTAGGATATAAACCTTAGTCTAATTTATTATTGTACCATAAGAGTGAACATCATTATTTTTGTTTAAAATTTCTGTTAAACTCACTGGTTAAGTTTTTATTCGGCTGACTTACATTATGTTTATCATTAAAAAGTTAGTTGAATTAATGGATTTCGTGAATCATTTTAAACACACTGATTTTTATTTTGCCTAATGATCTGTAATGCTTGCATAGATCCTTGTTTTCAAATGTTTAAATATTAAGCCCTTGTTTGATCCCCATTTTTTTTAAAATTCATTTTTCTATCTTTTTTTTTCAACCACACATTCTTCAATAAAATAATATTACACACAACCCAAAAACTTTTCCTTCATTTTAACCACACATTCTCCATCAATCTACTATTACAAAATGCATTCTACACCAAAAAAATGGGGCTCAAACAGGCCCTAATTAAAGCAGGACAATCTACTGCCTTGAATTGAAAACTTTTCTTTGCAATGTAGACATGCCTGGCTGCTTGATGTTCGACTCTGAGGTGTCCGAGCATAAGTTGTATGATCATCGGCCCTATCTACTAAACCAGGATGATTACCAACGTGTGTGTCATATTCCTAAGAAAAAGGTAATTTTTCTTCTAGAGCCCAGATTTATGTGTGCTAAACAGCAAAATTTTAATCTGCCCTTTGGATTCTGAACAATTGGCCTTCATGGTTCCAGGGTGCAAACTTTAGGGATTTGCCAGGCGTTAGAGTTCGTGCTGATAACAAAGTTGAGTTTGATCCTGATGTAGAAAGAGTAAAGCTGCCTTCTGGGAAGCCTTTGGTATGTTTTCTCTGAAATTTTGTTTACTATATGCCCATCCTCTATGCTGCTATATATAATGTATATTTTAAACTGGCAGGTTCCTGATTATGCAATGACTTTTGTGCGTGGAACTTCATCCAAGTACGAAAACCTCTTTCCTTTTTATGCATAATTTAAGTGCTTATTCATGGACTAAGGATCTCATGCATGTTTTCCATTCTTGCAGGCCGTTTGGACGGTTATGGTGGGATGAGACTGTTC